AAAAAAAAAAAAAAAAAAAAAAAAAAAAAAAAAAAAAAAAAAAAAAACCATGAATCTACAGTGTAGAGTATAGATTATATTTGTCTTTCTGGGTCTGGGTTACCTCACTCAATATGATGTCTTCTATATTCACCCATTTGCCTGCAAATTTTAAGATGACTTTTCTTTTTCTGCTGTGTAGTACTCCACTGCTCTTCCTCTCTCCTGGCGCTCAGTCACCTGCCCAGCAGTCGCATCTACCAATCAATCTACTTAGCGAATCTAATCAAATGCTATAAGAGCAACACAAGACTCATTCAAGAGGAGAAAAGCTCTTCCTATGTCCTTCCCTCTGCTTCCTGCTTCCCTCCGGCCCTGTCCCTGTGAAGTTCTCTCCTGGGTAAATGTATCACATATTTCTTATCCATTCTTTGGTCGAGGGGCATTTAGGTTGTTTCCAGGTTCTGACTATGACAAATAATGCTGCTATGAACATAGTTGAGCATGTGTCCTTTGGGTATATACCCCAAAGTGGTATTGCTGAATCTTGAGATAGTTTTTTTTCCTAAATTTCTCGGAAATCGCCATTTGATACCAAAAGCGGCTGTACCAGTTTGCATTCCCACCAGCAATGCAGGAGGGTTCCCTTTACTTCACATCCTCTCCAGCATAAGCTGTCATCAGTGTTTTTGATCTTGGCTATTCTTACAGGTGTAAGATGGAATCTCAGAGTTGTTTTGGTTTGCATTTCTCTGATGACTAAGGATGTCGAGCATTTCCTTAAGTGTCTTTCAGCCATTTTAGATTCCTCTGTTGAGAGTTCTCTGTTTAGGTCTGTACCCCATTTTTTTGTTCCTTTAATCTCAGCACTCAGGAGGTAGAGGCAGGCAGATCTCTGTGAGTTTGAGGCCAGGCTGGTCTACAAGAGCTAGTTCCAGGACAGACTCAAAAGCCTGCCTCTAAAAATAAAAAAAAATAATAAAAAATCCTGTCTTTAAGGCATCAGCACAGAGAAAGCAGCTGCTTTACTACAAGGGGAAAACATCCCCTTCCTTCCTCTTTTTACCTACCCCTTCTTCCTCTTCCTCCTGCTCTCTGCCTGAACTTGGGGACTTTGACCCAAAGTGTAAGAAGTGAGGGGGCAGGGCAGAGGAGAGCAAAGACAGCTACAGCAGAGGTCCAGAGAGAAGAAACTGAGAGAGCAGAGGCTGGAGAGGGAGGGACAAACAGAGAGAGAGAGAGAGAGAGAGAGAGAGAACCGAAGATGGCATGTCCAGCTTTTAAGGGTTGCCTAGTGTATGTGCACGGGGGAATGACGTGGTTACATCATACTCAGATGATGAAGCTCATGCATGAGCACAAGGGCTCACATAGCTGTGTCATATGTAGGTGATGTAACCATGCCACATGTGGGTCACGCTTGAAGACTTGTCCACACATATGTGGCCCTGGAATCCGGAAGTGTCAGCCATATTGTAGCTGAATCATAACATTCCACCCTTTTGTTTATTATAAAAATTTGGGGCTTTTGGGGTCTTTAATGGGTGGGAATGGGGCCTTGTAAGGTCTCTTATGACTGCTTCCTGCTGATTTTGTAGGGGTTGTCAGGTCTCTCAAGACTGCTTTTTGCTGATTTTGTGGGCATTGGAGAGTTGAGATGCTTGATCACATCCTGGGGTGGCTGATTACTTTTGTGTTTTTTCCGGGCTCTGTGGAACTGGTTGGCTGGCAGCTCGGACCTTGCAAGATGCTGGAAAGGCAGAAAATTATGTCTGAAAAAATTTAAGATCCTGGTGATTAAGGAAGTGGAGTCCTAAGATGGAAGATAGAGGTTTGTTTTTTTTTTTTGAGGGGGCTGGAGGAGGGAAATTCCCAGGGGTTCCCAAGACTAGGAATGATAAGGGAAGAATTAAATGATACTTATTCTGGATGAGTCTGGTCCATTTAGATAGATCCAATTGGCTCCTGGAGCTTATGAAAAAAATGTTTGAAAAGAAATAAATTTTAGACATATTAAAAGCTTGTGATCATGATGGTAGTATTGGAATAGAAGATGGTGGGGAGGAGGGAGGATAAGAAGGGGGGAATTATTAAAAAGGTGAATTATTAGACCCCTCAATGTTTCACCTGAAGCAGATCTTAAGGTACTTGTTCTCCTTAGCATCATGGTTTTACCTCAACATCCAGGAGACACTGCTGCAGTCAGTGATAAACCCTGTTATGTTAAAGTCTGTTTTGTGAGTTTTTGGGAGTCTGGAGCCGTGAATGTCCCCAAACTCGTTATTGTTCCTTTCCACCTGGGCTTTTGGCAGTCCTTATACCTCTGGCTCTATGTTTAATGATGGTCCCTGTAATAACAGCTGAGTGGCTAATTGGAAATTTAAGTATACATTGAAGATACAGAGAAGTTGGTAACGCAGACAGGAGGAAGAGGAAGAGGGACAGTGTGTGGAGTTTTTGGCACAGGAGAGTTGAGTACGGTGATGAGATTTTATCTTTCTGGAACTGGAGACAGAGTGGCTGATCCTGGTGCCCTCTGGGACTTAAGGGAGCAGGGCTCTGATTGAGTTACCGTATATGAGGGGGAATCTTGAGCCGGAAGAGTGAAAGGTTTAAGGTGGGACAGGTGGATCCAGTGAGAGTCCCTTGAGCTTGGCAGCTGTGGGAGTTACAAGAATTACTTTAAAGGGGCCCTGTCATTTAGGGGAAAAGGGAGAGGGGAATAGATCTGGGGGAGAGAATGGCACCTGATCTCCTATTTTAACCAGTGGTGGGCATGGATTAACACACGGTTGAGGTAATGAGTAGTTGGTAAAAT